ACCCTGCCTGTGACCACCCTAGGCAATAGAAATTTTTCGTTGTTCTCGTCTGCTTTGTTGGGAAGTAGCTGGATAGCTGTCGGCCTAAATGAGTTTGTCTAAAGGTTAAGCCTTTGGACAGAGTGTGCAGTTTTTCTCTATTTAATTTCTCGGAATGAATAAAGCCTGTCTGTCCTGCCTCTACAAATAGAGTTCCCTGGGTACAGGTCCAGTCAGTCAGCAGTTTCCTTAAAAAAAGTAAAAGCCACTGAGGTGTCTGTGAAGTACCAGATGTAAACTGTAGTAGGTGGCACAATTTAGTTTCATTCTAAGCGACAAACTGCATGGTGACAGGCTGCTTAACCAGGCCACTGGCATTTCATTTGTCATGAGAACCTTAACATTTCATTTTAGCTGGAGCTTTATGGACATAAATATGGGTCAGTCTTTTCCCTGGCAGGAGGTGATCTGGCTGCTCTCTCCTGTGTTTTGACAGTGACCTGAAACTTGTCTGCAAGGTTTTTCAGTGCTGTGCTTGGCCCTGCAAATTGGAGCTCAAGCTGAAGCAGAATGGGATGGTGGCACGTGAGGTGAAAGTCGGTATGCTTGGTGCTTTCTAGTGGGATAGATGTCTGGCCCAAGCCTGCCAGTGCCTCCATGGCCACTAAATTGAAAGGACAGACACTGTCACGATGGCTGCAACATTGGTGAGGGACCAGGGTGGAACTGCAGTACCAGGTAGAGGTGTCATGGTCCAGGTTAAGGATCTTATGAGATGCATCTGAACGCAGGGCCTGCATCCCTCCAGTCCGGGGGGAGCCACAGTCTGCAGAGGCTGAGCAGAGCCCTGCCTGAGCCGTGGTGATGGTGGCTCCCATTCCTGCTGCTGTGCTGGGTCCTGATGGTCCGTCCTTTGTACGCACAAGTGGGGTGGCCTGCTGTAGAACCCAGAGGGAACAGGCTGACTGACACACAGCTCTTCTGTTACTCAGTGGACGGGGTGCCTGAAAAGAGTATTTTCATAGAAGCTCGGGTGCTTTTAGTCCCTAACAGTTCCTCAAATGCAGCCCCCCCCAGAGTAATGCAGCAGCATTGAAATGCCTGGGGAACAAACAAGCTGGCATACACTCCCCTTGGTGCTCCTGCGAAGACTGCTTTTATGGGCTCCTTCCACTGCCACAGAAGGGTGAGTCGGTGGCATGTTACAGTTTTAGATGGCTGGTGAAGCATCTGCCTTGAGAAAAGGGAAAGCTGGAACAAGTCAGGCTTGGGAAAAAAAACTCTGTCTTCTTTCTTGATGATATCAGTGCAGGAACATGACAGCTTTGCAGCTCTGAGACCGGCTCTTCTCCAGTGTGGACACATCGCCCCCCTGGAAGTAGGAGGAGCATTTACAGCAGTATCTAAAGATCTTGTCAGGGCAAGATTGTGTTTTGGTGACGGGGAAAAAGGAGTTGTGGTTCCCTAAGAAGGGAGGAAACCCTTTCTGCACAACTCCCAGAGGGTCCTGAGGGTGCTTCCCGTGTCTTACCCAAACTTATTCAGGGACAGATGGTGGCATGTGGGCAAACAGTGCCCTGTCTCCTGAAGGGTTTGGGGAAATCTTTGCTTTAGCATAAAGCGCTGCAGTAAAACAGCCTAAGGAGAAGGAACTGAGCTGGAGTACACCCCAGCTGTGTATTTTAAAGATATGTTTTGGTTTGCCTTGCGGGTGGAGCAGATGTTTCTGCAGGACACAAGTATGATGAAGGCTTTGTTGAAGCTATTTACCATGCTATTCCCCAGCTAACTGCCACGTCCCTTTTCTGGAGCCAACTCCTGCTGTAGTAGAGCTGCTGGAAGATAACTCGTGTATGCCCCTGACGCTTGCATGCAGAGGTTGGTATCTCAGTGTAAACAGCTAATGAACGCGTTCGCAGAGCCTTGGCATGAGTCTGATTCCTTTAAATCTGAGTCTGTGGCATTAACCTCTGCAGGTGAGATAATGACCTCCTGCACTTCTGGGTCAGTCTGCTCAGTGATCGCAGCAGAGATCTGATGATGCTGACACTTGGACCTTCCCATCTAGCTTGCGTAGAAAACAGTCCAGTAATAGAAAAAGCACATGGAGCAGCTCATTTCTGCTGCTTTGTTTGAGGTAGGGACTGAAAAATTTAGCAGTGAGTAACTAGTTATCTATAGACAAGCTTTTTCCAGCCAGGACAAGTCATGTCTCCTTACCCAGCTGCTGCCAGTTAAACTTTGTCTTGGTTCTGAGCGGTTGCATGCATGACTCCCCCAGCTGTCCTGGAAGTCAGTCAGGTTGTAAAATTGGGTACAACTGGTATAGAAGGGCCTTCCAGGTCCTTACTGTGGTGCTGCTGATGTGAAGAGAATGCAGAGTGGAAAGCCTGTCAGTCAGCAATGCTTTATATTTTGGTGGCAGGCGGTTTGTTTCCTATGCAGTTTGAAAAGTGGGAGTGTGAGGGGAAATATTTGCCTAGCAAATGTTTTGAGCCAGTGCCGATCTCCGTGTTAGGATCACTGGGCACGGGGAAGCTCTGGCGAAACTGGGGCTAGCTCGGCTTGAGAAGCACGGTGTGCAGCCAGGCCTGCCACGTGGCCGACTCTTCAGGTGAGGCTGAGCATCCTTACAAGCAGCTGAGCCAAGAAAGTGTGTCATGCACCGAGCCCAGTGCTTCCAGCACACTGGAGAGAGAGCTGAGGCTGAGGGAAGCGGCTCCTTCAGCTTGTTTGAGCACTGCTGGACGAACCCATGCCTCTGAAGCACCAGCTTTGGTTGTCCCCGAAGCTCTTAATGTCACTGCTGGGATCGTTCCTTTTCCTCCAGCACCTGGGGCTGGCAGGAACAACTTTCCCTTCTCTCCATATGCCCTTAACTCTTTACTAGAAACATTTATTTTTATTTAATTGCCTCTGTAGCCTGGAACAGATGTCAGAGCCTGAGCCAGCTCTGCAAGGGTGTGACCTCCCTGGAAAATGAATTGTTGTAAATTCTAGCAAAGATGCAGAGGGCGGAGACATTCGGTTTTGACTGCTGCATGTCACTGTGATTAAATGATATTTAGCTGCAGTTCTTCAGGTCAGTGCTAGTGGTGTCCTCCTGATGCAAGACTGTAATTGCCCACACGCCTCCCGAGAGAAGTGCTCGGGACTGGCAGAAGGAGCTCAGTTGACTTTAGCTCTGGTCCTTTCTTCGGTGCTGGTGACGACTGTTATCTACCTGGGGGGATGTTGGATGCTGCTATTCCAGTGTGCCTTTCTTATTGTGACCTTACAGTCAACACTTGGCTGCAGCTGTGAACAAAGGGCTAATCTGCCTTTCTCAGAAGGTGCTTGTCTCCTCTCCCACTGTGCGGGTTGCATCTGTGTTGCAGTAAATGCTGGCAATGGTTTTATGTAAAACGTGCTTCCAAGCAAGCCTGTTTGGATAGAGAGAGGTCCGAAAGATCTCGCTGCTTTTTCCTGGAAAGAGCAGCAAGGGTATGTTGGGTTTGTCAGCCTGCATGTCGCCAGGTTCAGCTGGCTCTGTTTCTTTGACAAATGGGGAATTGCCTCGGTGGGGAGATGGAGGTGAAGCCCTTCATGCCAGGGCCGTGAGGGTCTGCACGTGGGAGTGCTCTCTGGTGTGCTCACTGCCTGCGTGAGCCGCTGCACAGAGCTAGGCTGGCGGGGGGCTGCCTTCGCACCCCCGCCGTGGCGGGGGGAAAGGCCGATGGCATCTGCTGCTGAGCACCAGACTGTCCTGCTGGAGGGGGGAACGGGGCTCTGTCTGGAGCTGGCAGCCTGGTTGGGAGCCCTTGGCGTTGTGTGAAGCACCCAGCGGGAGGGCAAGAGGGATTGAAGACCACTGCTAAGCCCTCTGAGATTCGGAGAGCAGCTCCTCCTGGCTCCTCTTGCTCTCTTACAAACTGAGCAGGAAAGCCAAGCCGTGGCTTTGGGGAGTCACCATAGTTGGCTTTCTTCTTCCTTGCCTCTGGCATCACGCCGTCAGCGCGGTGGGTTGTGTGCTGGATGAATGTAGCACCACGTTACATCTATCTTGGCCCTTCTGGAGGTTTCTTCTGAGCACTTTTTGTCCAGCTAAGAGACTACTGTCCCCAGAGACGTGGTGCAGCCCAGCTGCCTCTCCAGCACTGCATGCTGAACTTGACCTGCTGCTGCTGGGCCACCTGCTCGTCACAAGTGATGTTTCTGAAGCAGAACCTGAGATTTGCCCAGCCAGCAAAGGTTTGCTCTGAGGTGACTTGGAGCAGAGACCTCAGCCATGCTGTTAATAGATCCATCTGTTTCAAGATCTGTGAAGACCTGGAGCCCTTCGCTGGCCTTTATTGACTGAACGGTGGTTATAAAGGCTGAAAGTGGGGGTGTCACTGCCAGTAGGAGTTGCAACGTTGCTGCAGAAAGGCAACAACTGTCAGAAGAAAAAGGGTGTTTGAGGAAAGAAAGCGTTCTTCATAGCTCGGGTCAGGGCCCTGTCTCTTTATAAGTGCTGGTCTGTGTGTGACTGAACGCGAGCCCAGACTTTATTGGTGTCTGAAGGAAGCAGTTACCCAAATCCTTCCAAACGAGGGCCTTCGTCCAGTGCAAGCAGTAAGTTGCCCATACGTGAAATGAAGAGTGAAGGCTGAAAGAGGAAAGAGTGGTAGATGCCCACCTAGAGAAAACCGTCATTCTACTAAACTTAAATATAAGCTGTGGTCAGCCAGAGATTGAATATCTTGTATTAACCTGAGTGCAACTGCATTGTTTAACCTCGGCAAAAATATGCTTTGGGAATATGATTGAGTTTATTCACCTTGGCATTTGCAATGATGCCATTTCATAGCATAGATTAGCTTTTGATTAAAGTAGAAGCACCAGTTAGACTGTCATTTCAGGGCTGTGGGTGTGTTTGAAGACAGCCTTGTCCATACTCTTGTCTTGAAGAAGGAACAACTCTATCTCACACATTCCTGACAGATATGTCTAACCTTTTCTGTAGCACTGGAGACTCTTAAGACTTTTTTTTTGTGTGTGTGTGTGTGTGTGTGTGTGTGTGTGTGTATGTATCCCCGAGCAAACTATCCCACTGTTGTAATGCTTTCCTCAGTGTTGTAGTCACATGTGCTGTGGTTTAGACTTGTTTACATCACAGCTGCATGGAGATTCGTCATAGGATAAAGCAAGTCCCAACAGAGCTTCCTGCTTGTGCTCACACCGTTTGGAAATTCAGCCAGAGTGCGGATGACGCTCTACTGAATGAATGACAACATGCTCTCATCTGCAGTTTAGTTTTGGAAAAACAGATACACAGCTGGATAGCAATAAATTCAGTCAATACAGGTCTTGTCTTTGTCGCTTTGGAGCATCTTTCTCAGGGAGAAAAACAACGGTGTGCTTCAAGAGAAGAGCTCTGTGGTGATTCTGCACAGCTGTTCCCCACTTCAGTTTTGGCCTCAGCAGTCCAGGCAAGGAAGAACTCATGGTGGTAGAGGCCCTGTAAGTCAGGCTCTCACGGGGAAAGGCGAGTCAGTGACAGAGAGCAACAGGGACACGTGCTTTGTGTAACCAAGGTGTCATCCAGACCTCAAAATAGCATCTCAGCATCTGCAAATAAAGGGGAATCGACGATGAAGTTCAGGTGGCGGCTGGTTGGTCTCGGCACTGTGGGCTGTGATGGAGCAGAAGACAGGAGCATCTTTTTGCCTGCCCCCTTTATCCCAGGAAAAGTACTGTTTGCTAAGTCCTAGTATCTTAGTGGGAAAGCCTGAGTAAGGACTCCCCCGCCGCGAAACCTCCCTGATTGGTACCTGCTCTGTTTCTGCGCGCGTTCACTGCGTTACCTGGGAACATGGGCCGGCGGGCGCTGCCTGGTTCGGCTCCTTGCGGACAGGAGCTGGCCCTGGATGCTCTTTGTGCTGTTTGTGCTGTTTATTACCCCACCTCACCCCAGCTGGCTCGGCGCAGAGGGCACTTGTACATCGACGGGGACATGGCAGAGCTGGGCTGTACAGCCGGAGGTGTCCAAGAATCACCCGCGCTTTCTGGCTACCCCAAAGAAACTGGGACACATACCTGTTGCAGGCTTTTTTTCCTCTGGAAGTGACAGCTGTCCAGGCTGGAGTGCTCCCTCTTCTCACACACAGTGCGCCTGATTTCCACATGGAGCATGTATTTCAGCCCTCTGACAATCTAGAGAGAGTAGTTTCCTCCTTTAAAGGAAAGGCAGGGGAAAGGGATGCCAAAATCCTGGCTAGGAATCAAGTACTACATCTGGGAATTGTGTGCGGTGGAGTGGATTAAAGTGTTCTGTGTTGAATTAGTGGGGTGGGGGTGGGCAGAGCCCTCAGGTGGAGAAGTTAAATGGGATGGAGGGCCACGTGCTGTTTATCTTCAGGCATGCACAGCAGTTCTGAGGAGGATCAGGCCCTCCCAGGTCTCGGTGCTCTCTAAGAGGGTGACTTGGTAAATGTTCCGGGGAACCACCGGGAGGCTGGGCCGCTCTTACCTGTACCATGGCCTTGTTTATTTGTGACTCCTTGAACAGAAAGAGGTCGTTGGAACTGTTGTTGTATCTGTAAACCCCAAAGCGAGCTGCCTTGCGAACGCCAGGGTTGTCGGTGTTCATGGGGACAGGGGAGCCAGGCTTCATGGTGGAATGAGGGGGTGGGACGTAGGTAGCTGAAACAACACAAAACATGGGTGCAAAACACATCAGGTGCCTGAAACGGCGGGAGCTTCAGCCCCCTGAACCAGTGCTAAACGTTCTTCCTGGTCCAATGCACTTGGGCTTCAGAAGGACTCTGCTTGCGTCTATTACGAAGTGATTTTCCTTTATACGTTTGAAACAATCCTGTGGAATGAAGTGACATAAAAAGATGCTGCTAGAAGTGGTAGCAGAGCTCCAGCTGACTTAGGAGAAGCCAGGGTGTCATCAGTATTACTCAGAACATCTCTGGTACAACTCCCAGCTCACAGAAGGCCCAACTTTGAATCTAGTTACAAAGCTAGACCACGTTGCTCAGGGCACAGTATCATTTTGCAAACACTGGCTAGCGGAGCCGGGCTGCCCTTACCTGGCACGCCAGGTTTAGCTTGCAGACCTAAGTCCTTCCCACCCCTCCCCTCCTTAATCCTTTGATGGCACCTTGAGGTTTTTATTTAGGGGGATTTAGGCGGTGGTAAAGGTGAGGGGAAGGCACCTTCCTTCTACCTGCTGCCGAAGGAGAGAGCGCGGGTGCTCCCCAGGCGGGCAGGGAAGGGCCTGGGGCAGCACTCGGGCTAGCTCCCCCCGGGCTTGCCGAACGGGCTGCTTTGGGTGCTGCAGTGCTGCTGCCCTGACCCAAAGGGCAAGGAGCATCTTCTCCAGGGGAGGAGCGAGGCGTGTAGGAAATGGAGTCTGAGGGGGGAACCCATGAGCTTTCAAGATTGAGCACTTCTTTCCACTTATTGCTATATACTCGGTTGCGTAGCTAATTTCCCTATGCCCTGCTCGTCGTTTCAGTAATTTAAAAGAGCCTTGAAGCTCACAGCTGATGTCATTCTTTCCTCCCCTTCGGCATCTGCCTTCCCCTCCATTTTCTCACTTCTGAAATGCAAACGAGGAAAAAATCCTCGACCTGCCCCCGTGGCTGTGCAGGCGCTGCTGGTGCCGGTGCAGGAGGTGGCCCGTGGGGTTCTCTCTGCGTGTGTGTGGGCAGCAAGCCCGTGCGTGCAGGGCACGCAGGTGTGCACGCAGACCTTGTCCTGACTTTGCTGTGGAAGTCAAGCGTTTTGCCACCTCCAGCTGTTTTTCACAGCTGGATCGCTCACTAACAGCCAGGCACAGAGCAGACTCTGTGTTTAAGCCAGTTTGTAATGAGAAACCCAAGTAGGAGAGAGAGGGGCAACTTGGTGATCCAGAGCCTATTTAAAAAAAACCCCGCCGGCATTACATGCCATCTACGCATAGGAGGCTGCAAAAATTCAGCTTTGAGGTTGCTTATCTAGGTCCTAGTTACACTATCACATCCTCCCCTGCAGGTATTCATTGCTGCACCCCCGAGTAACACTGCTCAGGGATTGAAGTGTTGGCCTGCAAGGGAGAGACTCAGTTTCACGTCCCTCCTCAACCCAAGGATGTCCAAATTCACGTCCCCTCCTGGCTGATACCCCAGCTACCATAACGACCCCCATGTTTTCTTGCAGGTGGGAGCTGGGGGCTCCTGAAAGGAGCAGGTGTTCTGCGAGTGGCTTTGTGTCTGGTGTGGAGGTGAGGAGCTTTCCTGTCCCATGTCTCTGATACACGTTGGGACTGGGTGTGCGGCCAGTGCTGGGCAGCCTGGCAGTGTTTTTTCACCCAGCAGCCCGGAACCCACTTGTAGGGCCTGAGACTATTCTCTGTGGGCTGATTGATATTTTCCTACCGCAGCAGGAGTGGGATTCAAGAGTCACAGAAGCTCGTGAGCATGCAGTCTAGGTCTGAAGGTATTTCTCAGGCAGCACGTCTTAAGCAGTGCTCAGCTCCCGGGTAAGATTCCAAAGGATGTCTGCCCTCCCGCCCTGAGCAGGGACTCAGCCTGGGGGTTAGGGTGAATCTAGAATCAAGAAGGCCTTGCTTGAATCTATGCTCTTACGCCCGTTGGAAAGTCAGATGTGGCAGTGGTGGGGGTGCTGACAGCAGATACTGTCCCTTGCAGTCGGAGGAGATAACCACAGGCTTTTTCAATCTTAGCACAAGGTCCCTTTGCGACTTAATAGCCCTCAACACCTCCTGAGTCGTGGTGATGTCCTTTTTAGGCGTGGAGTGTCAGGGTGAATGAGGCTGGCTGAAGTCACGCTGCGTGTATGGGAAGAAAACTATGAAATGTGCTACTCCAAGCAAGAGTCAGGGGGCACGGCGCCCTTGTTCCCGATTCCAGTGCCTGGTAGATCCAGCTGTGTCACACGTGGCAAAGCCTCTGAAAGGCAACATCTGGAGAGGGGGGCTGGCAGCCTAGCGAGTGGGGCCACACGTTGTAGGCAGGTAGGAGGTTGGTGATGTCCCGTGTGCTGTAGGCAGGTGGTAGGCTAGTACACTCCTGCCCCAGCTTTCACCAGGGGGTACCGGGCACTTCATCTTCTTCACCCATTGCAACTTGGTGTTGAGTATAAGCTCTACTAAGCCTTTATGGTAGAACTTTACCCCCCCAGTTTGGTGACCCGGGCTCCTCAAGGCTAGGATTTGGTTTCCTTTATGTGCTTTGGTTATCATTCAGGGTGGTCACTGCGCGGTGCGCACGCTGGTCTGAAATCACTTTTGCTGTTTGGAACAGTCCGCACCGCTGTATTTGAAAACCCAGAAACTCCCTGCTGTGAGGCACCTGTAGTTCTGATTTGCTTCACCTCAACCTTTCCTGACAGCTTCTTCCCTAGCTTGGCCCTGGAGGGCCGTGACCTTAAGAAGTTGAATGTGTGCAAGGTGATGGCCCTGCTCCAGCAGCAAAGCAGAATGGCCCGGCGGGCCAGATGACAGTGCGGGGCTCTAGGCATTCCGGTGGGGGTGAATCCCGGGTCGCCCCGGGGTGGGAGGGAGCAGAGGCGCTGCCTGCCTTGGCCTGGCACCTCCGGCACGCAGAGGATGCGCTCTCACGACCCGGGAGAGCAGCTCTTGCTGGGGAGAGCAGCTCTCCAGGGCGGTGCTCGGAGCCAGGCCGTCTGTACTTCAGACCCATCCTCGCGTCTGGGTGCGGAGGTGTGAAGAGAGGGGGCAAAGCCGGCCGCCTTCCTCCTGTTGGACAGTGGTAGGGCAGCCTCTGCTTGCTCTGAGTTACCTGCCTGTCGTTAAGCAGGAGATAACGTTCCTGCAGAGATGAGTTGAATGTTGTATTAAGAGGGTCTCTCTTGTGCTTTCCTCATCGAGGAATAATCTGGGGGCCCTGTTCCTGCAGCAGGAGGGTGCAATCCCGTGGGTACCCTCTCCCAGCCTGCGAGTGTAGCAAGTGGGCAGGTTGCAACAGGTCGCGTTTTTATCGGGAGGTGCTTTCAGAAACCTCTTCCCCGTTAGTAGGAGCAAGGCTAGGCTTTATCTCTACATTTAAGATGCAGCCAAGTTCCTGCATGCCTTTGCAACCCCCAAAGGAAACCGCAGCCGAAACAAAAAGCTACTGGCTAACCAAACAACATCCCTGAGTGCATTAGTAGTTTCTGTGTGTGGGAGCCGAAGTAAAACCTAAGTAGAACAAAAAGCAACAAGAGAGAAGACGCTTCTGTCTGCAGTTCCCGTCCTGACAATGTGAGGCCAGCTACGATCAAGAGTTTCGCTGCTCAGCAAAGAAAGAAACGATCCAGGGTAATGTTTCATTAAAGCCAGCTAATCAGCTCTCAAGTGCCCGTCTGTACCTAGCAGTCAAATTACTGCCCCCAGCCTTTAGATTTAATAATCAAGATCACGCAGAGTCTAAACACCGACAAGCAAGTTAAAACCGTAAGTTGACTTCAGAGTCCTTAGACGGTGTCCCTCGATACCACGGTCTGCTTCGAGGGGAGAAAGTCTTTTACAGCAGTTGGATTTCCAGCTGCAGCGTGAACCCCGCAGCGCTGAGCCAGCACGGGCAGCGGTTGGAGGAGGGCTGTCACTTACCGGCGCGTTAGAAAGCGGCGTAAGGAAAACAGAAATGACTTTCCACTCTTACCACCTGAAGTCCCGGTGAAGCTCCAGAGTGCCAGGCACCAAAGCGCCGCGAAGCTGCAGGTGGTGTTCAGTGCCATCGCCACCGCTGCAGGAGAGGAGCCCGCCGGCCAGAGGAGCGACCGCCCTGCTTCCTGCGGGGGAAGATGTGCCTCCGGGTGCTCTTATTGGCTGAGAGGGAGGAAAAAAAAACCACCCAAAAACCCCCCTGAATCGTCGCAGCAGCTCGGCTGCAGGCTCGGTCTCCCGCCGATGACCAGCCACCTCGAGGGCTGGCCACAAAGCTCTGGCTTGGTGATAGCAGCACCGGTCCTGCGCCAGGCGAGGGCTTTCGTGATCCGCAGGGGTCGTGCAGAAGCGTGGGCAGACACGTGTGATGTAACACCGGGACGTGCTGTGGGGGCGAGGAGGGTAACAGTCATATGCTTTAAGATTCATGGGGAAATTTGATGCCTAAGAAAGGGGCAGGGAGCCCTGGGGGTGACTTGGGTGTGGGTGTCTGGGTGGGGAGAAGCCTGACAGAGAAGGTGGGCCCAGCTTCCCCGGACGTGGAGATGGGGGGTTTGGGTGATGGAGACAGGGAAGTTTTAGGGGTACCTGCCTGAGGGGGCTGTGTGAGCAGAGCCAGTCGGAAGAGAGTTTTGGTTCTGGTGGCAGAGGGCACTGTGCCCCACATTTCCAAGAGGACGAGGCCGTGCTAGGCTCAGCGGAGGTGAGGTTCTCCCTAGGTGCTTTCCAACGAGCAGGAGGAACGCGGGGAGGGGTGTACTTCGGCCCTCTGTGGCTTGCAAAGCTTTTCAGCTCTGGGGTTGGATTCCCTTTTGGTCAGTACTCTGTTTCCAGACAGGTCCTCCCCAGGCAGCGTTGGCCCGTGCTGAGGAGCTTGCAAGTCTGGGGAAAGGGCCGGGTTGCCGGACCTTGGGATGCACCTGAAATGACCAGCTGCCAGAGTCGGGAGACCGGGAGATGACCTGGGGCGTTGCTGAAGGGCGAGCGGGGTGGACCTCGGCCTGGGTATGTGCGTTCCTTCCAGGTGGGCCGGATGGTTGCCTTTGACTTGCCCCAGCAATGGACTGTGCTCCTTTCTGAGCAAAGACCTCTTATTGCCTAAAGGAAAACCCCAATGCAGGACAATGTGGGTGCTGTGTAAGAAGCTGGAGAAAAATAATCTTAGTGTTTCCTTGTAGGAGGGGATTAGGTAAACCCTCTGTTGGAACATCCCACCAAGAAGGAATGGGGCAAGCGTGGTGACTCACATTTATCATCAGTCCTGCTTGATTAGGGCTTTTGAATCAGACTCCAAAGCCTGTGGAAACCATTGAGAGAGAATGAGAGGGGGACTATATTTGGATTTTTTTGCCCCTTCCACCCCTCCCTTTTTTTTTTTTTTGAGCTCACACAGTGGCCTGTCCTGCAACTGTGGCACAGGCAGGGACTGAATCGGGTACTTTCCGTCCTCCCTTTCTCCTCGAGAACCGTGCTCCACAGTCCCTGCCTCACTGCAAGACTCTAGGGGAATGTCTTTAGGTCGGCAGCCGAGTCCCCCCCCCCACAAGAAGGGGGGGGCCAGCGTGAGGCACCGGGGGGATCTTTCTAGACCGTAGATTCTTCCCTCGCTTACAACGAGCGCCTCGGGCCGCCACTCGCAGCCCTCTGACAGGGCTTGGTGTGGGGTGACTAACGGGGGCAGGGGGGGTGGTGAGGTGCTCGGAGCTGGGTGGGAGGGGGGCTGTGGGTCCCGGGCGGCTGGCAGCGGAGGGCGCCCGGAGGTAAGTCACTGTGCCGCAGCCCGGACTTGCCTGGTCCCGGCCGGCGCAGCGCATCCCGCCCCGCCTCGGAGCGGAGCGCGGGGAGATCGGGGTGCCCTTCGGTGGAGCCCCTTCCTCTGCGGAGAGGCCAAAGGCAAGCGGCAAACCTCCCGCGGAGCAGAGTTCCCCCCGGTGTCGGGGGGGGGACACCCGCGGGGCAGCGACCCTGTTCCAGCCCACTCCAAAGCCAGCAATGCCTCGGGCTTGCTTCTTGCCCGGGAGGGTGCCCGCGGCTTCGGGGGAGCTCTGAGCTCTCGGGTGGCCGCTGGCCGGTGCCGCGGGCAGAGGGGAGCTGCTGGGGCTGACGGGGACCCGCGCTGCCTCCCGGCTGTCCTGCTGCGCCGGCACCTGTGCCGCCACGGACTTTGTCCTGGGGAGCCCAGCACCTGCTCTAGCACCTGCTCTAGGACCTGCTCTAGGACCTGCTCTAGGACCTGCTCTAGCACCTGCTCTAGCACCTGCTCTAGGACCTGCTCTAGCACCTGCTCTAGCACCTGCTCTAGGACTTGCTCTAGCACCTGCTCTAGCACCTGCTCTAGGACCTGCTCTAGCACCTGCTCTAGGACTTGCTCTAGGACCTGCTCTAGGACCTGCTCTTTCCCAAAGAGCGCTGCTTGACTCGTTAGCAGCATTTACAAAGCCAGCCAGGGACTTAAAGCAGTGTGTACGTGCAGAGGGCACATTGTTCCTGCGCCCCTTTCCCTCCATAAAATCACTCGTTTACAGCTCTTCCAAGCCAACTTTTCCTTTTGCTAATGAACCTTTTATGACTGTTGAGGAAGTTTCTCCAGTTCTTTTCTCCTAGGAAGTAACGGAGCGCTCGCTAATGACCGGTAGCATTAACAGTGCTAGTACTGTTATGTAAAAAACCACAAACACCACATCACCAAAAAACTTCCTCCCCCAATAACTGACAAGCAATAGCGAACTCCTTCAAGCCCACAGTATGTGAATGCTTGTTATTTTTCTTTGGGAATTTTTGTGCTGTGAAGGAGCCTGTCACTGGAGTCTGGGGCCGTTGTCCTCTTGCCACGTCTCATGGCAGCCAGGTGCCATCTCCCGGGACGCTGCTCTGTGCCACAAATGCATCTCCCGGAGGAGTGGAGCAGCACGACGTGATGCCTGACATCCAACCCCAGAAAATTCTCTTCGTGTTGAAGCTCCCCCAGGGTCACCGATGGGAATTTCACCCACTTTCCCTGGCATGCATGTGTAGCCCACCCCCTCCACGCCCGCACAGGGCGTGTGGGGCACTCTGTGGGGCGGTTGCTGCTTTCGGAGTGGCACACTATGTGGCTGTTGCTGTGTGAGCAGGACTCCCGACCAGCACATAGCTAGCCCTAGCCCAGACTAAATGAAGCTTGCCATCTTTCTGCATTAAGCTGCGTTAAATAGGTCTTACAAGACCTGCAGCTGTGAAGATCCCTCGCGTTTGCCTTTGTGCGAGTGGGGGGTGTTTATTGCCAGTCACGAGATACCAAGCCTGCGCTCTTTTCTGCAAGGTAATTTGCAGAATTTGTTCTCTCTCTCACTCTTGGGCTGGGTTACCAGAGGCTTTGGAAACAGGGTGCAACTGTGGGGATTTTCTTGATTAAAATAAAAAAAAACCCAAACCAACACCAACTTCTGTTATCCATAAGATGTGACTACGTCCTCCTTTCCTACTGAAGAAGCAGACCCCCGCAGTACCTGCAGTTTGATTTTCATCACGTTTGGTGCAGGAGGTGGATTTCTCCAGCGCCACTTTTTGCTTCTGTCGTTGGAGGCAGATGTTCAGCCACACAGCACAGCCCAGCAGTTTTCACCCCGGCTTCCTGGGTTAATGCCAGCGGGGTCTGCGAGGGCTCAGGCCGGGTTCCCACTCCTGTACACGTAATCAGTATCTAGCCCTGCCCCACAATGTTTCATTTTCAGTTCTGACTCCGTTTTTGCACTTCACAGATCAATGGGGGACTGTAAGAAAAATTAATCTCATTAAGTTTTTCAGGGACTTGGAGGATGACTGGAGCGTCTCTGAATTGTGCCTTCAGAAGTTTTAATTAAGACACATTTACCAGTGTCAATAGTTGTGGGGTTTTTTTTCCTTTAATCTTTTCTACATTTTCCAGGCTTTTATCTGCTCCCCAGGGCAGCTAAGTTAGTTGGTTTTGCTTTAATGAAGGATCTGAGCAAGAGGATGCTGGTTTGGCTCTCGGCTGGTGTCCTGGGTTGAGTGAGTGGTGGAGTTTTTTGGTAGCAGGGGAGGGGGCTATCGGGGCGGTCCCCTGTGAGAAGCTTCTCGGAGCTCCCCCAGCTCCGAGTCAGCTCCACCTCTGCACCAAAACTGAGCCCATCAGCTGCGCCTCTGCCAGAACGTTTTTAAGGAGGGACGTGGTGACGGGCAGTGGGGCTGGTGAGGAGGAGTTGCTGCAGCTGCGTGAACACCAAGGTCAGTGGAGGAACGGAGGAAGGAAGGAGGGGGGAGGTGTGCCGGAGCAGAGACCCCCCTGTATCCTGTGGGGAGACGGCAGGGTGGCCCCCCCCTGCCACCCATGGAGATCTACGGTGGAGCAGACATTGATTTATGGCCACAGATCAAGGTGCTGTGCCCGAAGAAGGCCGGGGTCTCATGGGAAAAGGCAGCCCCGCTGCTGTAATTCAGTGCTGGGAGGATTGCAGCATGCGGGGGAGTCCCACACCGGAGCAGCTCGGGAAGGGCTGCAGCCGTGGGAGGGAATCCAGTCGGAGGGAGTTAGTGACCCATGACGGAGCAGTGTGGGGAACGCTGCGGCCCGTGGGAGGAATTCAAGTCAGAGAAAGTTTGTGGAGGACTGTCTGCTGTGAGAGGGGGACCACGATGGAGCAGGGGGAACAAGTTTCGGACACTCCCCTCACCGAAGATGAAGAAAGTGACAGCACTGACTGCACCCCCCATTCCCTGCCCCTGCGCCCCTGGGGAAGGAGGTAGAGATATCGGGAGCAGAGCTGAGCCCGGGAAGGAGGGAGGGGTGGGGGGAAGGTGTTCTCAAGTTGTGGCAATGCTTCTCACTGCCCTATTCTGTTATGTGTTGTTAATGTCTGTAATAAATGTATGTTCTTTTTTTCTTCCCCTAACGAGTCTGCCTTTTGCTCGTGACCATAAAGGGGGATTTTCCCCCATCCCAGCCCTATCTTGAACCCCAAGCCTGGCTCTCTGTCCCTTCTCATTGCCGGAGGGGAAGGGAGAAAGAGCTGCTGCGTTGGGGTTGGCTGCCAACCAGGCCCAAACCACGACAGCTGGATTCGAGAAATCACCACCTTTCAGCTTTTGGTGGGGTGGTACATGGGAAAACAGGTGATAGTTTGGCAGCGTGGCAACAGCAGACTTTAAGCCTTGAGGGTGAAAGAGGTGGGCGTGATGACTTCTTCCACACTGGAGACCTGCGTTTTGCCGATGCTGAAACGTGTTGAGGTGCAGAGAAAGGAGAGTCCAGGGAAGAAGGACCGGGATAAAGAATTGAGGTGAGGACTCGGCGGCTGCTCCTCTGCCTTCCTATAGCAGCAACACCTCTCCAGCCCGTCTTTTTTTTTTTTAAGTGGAAAATCGTGCAGCTCATATAGCAGCAGCTTTACAGTACGAGGTCACTCGGGATACTGACGCCCCGCTGAGCAGGCCCGTGGCTGACCAAGTTGGATG